GAATTTTGTTTTCAGGGGTCATTGGATTTAAGTGTCATAAATAAATAAATAAATAAATAAATAAATAAATAAATAAATAAATAAATAAATAAATAAATAAATAAATAACTCATCACCGTGGGGAGGGGGGCAATGGCTCAAGGGGGCGTTTCTTTCAAAAAGGTTAAGAACCACTGTCTTAGACTGCAACGTTCTCCCCTAGGTGGCAGCAGAGAGCCGCCAAAGTTTGGCTCTCCCGAAATTTCACTGCGGTCTGCTAGGCAGCCATTCTTAACCCCTTTTTTGGTTTTTGGCCGTAAAAAGAATAGGAAAGAAATCAGAATTGTATGAGGCACGTCACAAACCTTATAAGGTGGTGTGTGAAGAATTGCTTCTGGTCTGTGGCTTCCTTCCTAAGTGCCAGGACCCCCCCAGGGACCCATGTTAAATATCGTCTTTCCTTTCTGCAAGCCGTCTTACAGAAAGGAGGGGTGAAAATATTCTAAATAAATAAAATAATAAATATGGCCTCCATGAAGAACGGCTGTGGCTAAAGCATCCTTTGCTTTCCAGTCCGTGAGGGGTGTGTGTGTATGTGCATGGAGGGAATGCCTTGTTCACCGTGGCCCTCCCACCATGTTTCAGCAGAGATTAAAGTAAAACTAGCCAGCTAGGGACGTGGTGGCGCTGTGGGTTAAACCACAGAAGCCTCTGTGCTGCAAGGTCGGAAGACCAGCCATCATAAGATCGAATCCACGTGATTCAGGGAGCTCCCGTCGCTTGCCCCAGCTCCTGCCAACCTAGTAATTTAAAAGCATGTAAAAATGTGAGTAGATAAATAGGAGATTTGGTACTTTCATTTTGGCCTCAAACTCCCATTAAGCGGAATCAGCATGGCCAACGATTAAAGGCTGGACATCCGGACAACTGAAGGTCCACATAACGCCCAACCGACGCCCAGGGCTTGTGTTCCCATCTATAGAGGTGTAAGTGGGTCAGGGCAACTGGGGTGCCAAAACTCACAAGGGTGCAAACTTTGCTGCTGCCAAGGCAGGGAGGTCAACTGAAAGAGGGATGAAAATGCAGACATCAAAGTTGCCAATTACGGTTCTATTTATTCATTCACGTGGCTCCACCTTGAGAACAGTGGAATCTACAGAAGGCAGGTTTTTGGAGATATAGAGGTTGCAAACTTTGGTGGGAGGAAAATAATGGGCATTGGGCAAGAATGTGGAAGGAGAGAAGGAGGAAGCATTAAACAGAGGTTTTGGGAGAAGGCGCCCGGTGGGCAGAGAGGTGGAGTGGGTAGATTCGCTGGAGAATGGAGGAGAGTTTTTAAGAGGCCAGGATGTTCGGATCTTCTCACGGTTGCCTTACTATTAACAGGAACTGGTTCACTGAAAACTTCCAGAAGCTGAAGGAAAAGTTCAAGGCCACTTTTTCCAGCAACGACGGTTCCGACTGAATCCAACTGTGGAGAACAGTCATGACTTCCAAATCCTGACCATACATCTCTGACTGGGGTTTCATCTGAGCCCCCCTCTCCCCCCCTCGAGGAGTAATAAGAGTAATCTCATCTCTTCTCAAATACGTTGCACTACATGGCTATTCCTTCATTTTGTACTCTCTCTTTCTCTTTTTTTGCTATGTTTTTATTTGCAACGGAACACAAATAAACAGAAAACCTCTCATTGGGGAAATGGACCCTCTGTTTATTATCAGGATGTTTTTCTCCCGAAGAAGTCAAACATTCAGTGGCAGGAGGGGAGGGGCGAGGATTTGCAGCAAAGACGTGACACCCATCGGTCAAATCATCTTTGTCTTGGATTCCTGCCGTGAGGGGAAGGTTGGGTTCCATGGCTTTGTTAGGCTCCTTCCAACTCAATTATTCTATGATTCTGTGTTTCTATGACAAGATTTGGGGGGGGGGGATTGTTGCCAACATTTTAGCCGCCTCCTATGCTTCTGCCTTGTACACATTCTGCAGGGATGTACAGAACCGGGCTTTGCCTCATGTAGTGTGAAACCCTTCAGTTGCCGGGCACAGAAGTAAGACACAGAGTTTTTGCCCCATCATTAAAATATCACCTTACAACAATAAATTTGTTGGAAGTCATTAATATCTGATTCAGAGAGAAAGGCCAGGCTGGCTTGCGAGACAGTTCCGCTCAAAAGGAATGTTTAACCCATAATCAAAGGCAAAAAAATTCTCATGTATGCTCAGAGGCACTCTTGATTTTTATTTTTTTTTTGCAGTTATGTCATGGGTTCCACAAATGATTTCATGGCAGCCCGTGGGTCTTCGCCCTTTGCCTCATGGTGCTTCTGAGTTTTACTTACAACTCCTACGAATGAGACCCTCTTACGCCATTTTGGTGTCCAGTTTTTCCCTCTGCCTCTTTACAGATTTTTCCTAAGCTGCCCTGCTGTAAACTTGGTTGATAAATGACGAGGGAGTAAATATTGCCTCAGGCTAAGCAAACTGTCCTTGGGCCCCAGCGCTTGCCTCTTTATGGCTCCCTTGAATAAATAGTCCTTTGAACCCAGAGCCTCCTTCAGGCCTTGCACCCAGGAAATATTTCAAATAAAAGAGCTTATTCGATGTTTCTGAGAGATCCCGAAGAAGTGGAAGAAGGAGACAGAGGTTTCTGTGCTCTGCCGTTAGACAGTCTGAGGCGGGTGTCTCGGGTGTCAAAATGCTGGGAGACTATAACTTATTGCCATAGTGAATGGATTTGTTCCCCTGATTCTTTATTTTAGAGGCTGGGAGTTCGATTCCCGACTGTACCTGCTTGATAGGGGCTGGTCTTGATGATCCCTAGAGTCCCTTCCAGCTGTGCAGTTGTAAGATTATTATTATTATATTATTGTTCAAAGAAAAAAAGACTTTAAAAAGGAAGGAAGGAAGGAAGGAAGGAAGGAAGGGAGCAACTCAAAAGAATAACAGAAAAATAATAAGCTGCAAATACAAGAAGAAGCCAATTGGGTATAAAGGTAAAGAAGAGACAAATAGCCAAATATATGCATGTGTTAGGGGCATTTAAATGCAAAATGGTTATGAAGTGGTCAGTCCAAGTAATTCAAAGTGGCCATTTATCTTTCTCACACTGCCGCAGACCTGGCTGCATGATTCTGAGCACTGTAGGTTTCTAAAAAGCAACGTTTCCGAGCTCTGTTGGGAAAAGAAAGAAAGAAAAGGCAAAAATATGGTGGCATGTCATGGACTAATGGATTTATTTCAGTGTGAGCCTTCCATGCATCAAAATCCACTTCTTCTGGCACTGGACATGTAATTACATGTCACCTGTCCTTATTCCACAGAAGCAAGATTCATGTCTGGCTGAAGATGCAGATGACAAGATAGCAATGGGTCAATAACACAGGAATGGGACTGTCTAGCTATGGATTAGCAGATCTGAGCCAAGGCGATAAGCACCTAGCTATTGCAGGAATGCTACCGGTTCTTTGTGGGACAGAGATCAGAGTCTGGAAAGGGAAATAACTCTTTTATACCCACAAGAGAATGCCTCTAAGGTCTGTAGTGCAGTATATGTAATTTAGCCACTGCAAAGTCTCATGCAATCCATCACTAACCACAGATTAATTTCCAAGACACAGACAAATAATTTTAAAGCCAGGGGAAACTGGTAGTGTTCATAGTATACTCCAAAAAATTTAAGTTGAGTGTCCTTTCCCTAAAACAGCCATTGGTGGAGTTAAGTTTTCAGCTCTCCATCCATTCAGGTTTGGTGCCTGGAGTGAAAAGAAACACTATTTTGTTCTGATTCTCAAGAAGAAAAAAATGTGTTAAGTTAACCCTGAATGGAACATCCCTATTGCAATATGGTGGCTGCTTTCATATCATCCTTTGGAAATAATTGGGAGCAGGTAATGTAGTTACCTGTAACTACTAACTTTTGAGGAGGTAAGAGATAATGCAACAAATACTGTAGTTATTTTTCAGATGTAAGGAATAACCTGTAAGTTTCTTAGGGAGAAAGAAAGAGTTACTTTCAAAAGTACCTTTAAAGGCAATTTAAAAAACATTTTTAGATACGTTTTAGCTGGGGTTTTTTTTTCAAGCTTTATGCCATTCTTTTATTAGTCCTAAGTAACAAGGGAGGTATTCTTTGGGTTTGCCTATTTCATTTTTTAAAAACTATTTCCAAGTTGCAATATCAGAATTGACCACTAGAGAGCACTCAAGTATGTTTTCTGGATTCCTCCCCTTCTAATGCAACATATTAACAACACCCAATGCAAAAAAAAATTTACTTGTATAGTTGCACATAAAGCAGATTCAAGTACTTGTCGGATTTTAAGAGTTTCAAAGGGAGGGTTGCAGTTGGTTTTTAAAATTCGCCATTGGCCAAGCTCATCCGGCCACGCTGGTGCCCAAAGGTCATGCTTAAGATGACTCTTTCTACCCCCAGTGTCTGGATCTATTTACCTGGACTCTGGACAGACAAAAGGGGGGGGCCTACCAATGGTCAAGAGGATTCTGGGAAGAGGTTGGGAACTGGGAGACTGCTGGTGGGAGTTTTCTCTCCTCTTCACAGACCCATTTGACTGTGTTGTGGCCGGTTCCAGACCAGGGGCAAGTTGACTCAGTGGCTACAGCTGGACAGGTAGGAAGTTGAATGGCTTTGCCAGCTTTGAGGTTCAATCTGGACCATCTCCTGAGACCCCCGGGGAACGTGGTGGTGATGGAACAAATGGGAGAAAAATCTTGTGGGTTGCTTTGTTTCCCCCTGAACCCATTGAACAGATGCAGAAACGGTAACTGAGGCCGTTCCAAGATAGAGCAAAGAGAATAATCGCAGAGTGTGATTCTCCAGGGACTGTGGGTCAAGACTGGGGTGGAGAATGGGGCAGCATTGAGCCAAAGGGTTATAACTTCCCCACCACCACAAAGATAAGATCACATTTAACAAATGCTCAATAATTTGAATTGTTTCAGAATGGCTAGGGTGTGTGTGGGTTGTTTGGTTTTATTTGAATATTTGCACCCAACAAAGCATCTTTTTGGGACTTTCAGAAAGATGGATGTGCCCATTACCCTTTTAAATTTGCATATCAGGATTATGTAAATAGGGAGAGTCTTTGTCATCACTGATCTGGAAAGGAAACGAAAAAGGTCAAGAGCTAACTCATACCCAGACACAGAGACAGTTTATTTCCCTGATTACTTCCGTTTTCTTTTTACTAGAATGCCTGGCATGTTCTGTTTTAGGCTAAGGATGAAGCCTTAAATTCTTCTCAGGTTGCCACAATTTTTGCTGGCCATGCTCCTGTGCCATTAAGAACCTTATTCCCTAGGGAGCCTTGTTGACTTATTTTCTGTTGATAAGATGCCTGTTTAAGAGACCCAGGCAAAGATCGGTTATGAAAAGTTGGCAGCTCTTCCAGAACAGTTAACAGCCTGCGTGCCTGCATGTCTGTATCTCAAAATTTGTTCTACAAATATGCATTATTCCAAAATAGCTTTGGTTAAAGGTGCGAAAAGTTAATTTCTGGACTACAACTTTGGCTGCATGGCTGTGGTCCAGAAAAGTAACTTTTCTCACTTAGGCTTTCAACCTTACAGCCACTTCAAAAGTCTCATGGATTTGTGATCAAAAGGACAAACTTCAAAAGTGTTTCTTCTTCTTATGCAATGAATCTGGTCATGCAGGTTTCAATTTCAAAGGTTTATCTATTTCAAAAAAATGGAATTTTAACAGAAACACATTCAAAACAGAGAAGAGGAAGTAAGAAAATGAGATGTAACAAAAAGTTCAGAGTTACTTTGTCACATTGCTGTTCTTGGTTGTTGTTGGGGTTTTTTTTTTTTTTTAATCTCTCCAAAGAGATGCATGTATAGCCCATGCTCCCTGTTTTGGAGCCTGGTCCTTCATACATTAAATAAAATAAATCCAAATTGTTACAAATCAGGTTTAATTAAAATGAGAAAGAAAGGCACAGGAGCACAGCCACTAAAAATATGTGGCAATGCTAAAGGTCACCAAGACTTTTTTCATGCTAGTTTTACAAAACGTCTGCTGAACTGTAGAATCTGCCATCACAGTGTTGATGTAGTTAATGTTGCCATGTTCTCCCCCCCTAAAAAGCTCCTAAGCTTTAATCCATATATAGAAAACAGATACAGATTTCCCTTTTCCATGCAGGGAATAGATTTTACCTATCAGATTTGTCATGGATGCCCACTGAATTTGAGGAGATGGAACAGCTTACCAGAGCAGATTGGCTTGCTTTCAAAGACTCTGCTGAAATTTACGAATCTTGCATTCAGGACAGAAAGAACCTGAGGTCTCAACTTTCTGAATGCAGGAGTGAAACTTAACAATATCTCCTGAATTGGACCTCTGGGAAAATTAGGTGAATGAAACCTGCTGATTGCACAATAAAAGTCTAGAGTAGAACAGCCAATAAGTGGCCCAAAATTCAGTCATCATCATCATCATCATAGCAATGTGCCATCAAGTCAATTCTGACTTATAATGACCCTTTTCCAAGGTTTTCCAGGTAGAGAATACACAAAAGTGGTTTCACCCTTCCCTTCCTCTAGGGGGAGCCCTGGGACTGTACAGCTTGCCCAAGGCTACCCAGGCTGGCTCTTATCCCAGGATGCTCAGTGGGGGAATTGAACTCATAACCTCTGGCTCCATAGCTAGAGAAATAACTCACCGAGCTATTTACCAACTGGGATTTAAAAAAAAAAAAGTTGGCTTTAAGTTCTGTTTCATCTCTTAGGCAATAACCATAAATAACTCACCCAGCTATTTACCAACTGGGATTTTTTTTTTAAAAAAAAAGTTGGCTTTAAATTCTGTTTCATCTCTTAGGCAATAACCATAAGCATGGACCTGAAAATTGTGGCTGCTTCCATCATGTTACTGCTTTTATGTTCTGGTAAGTAAGATCATGTCCAATCAATCCAAATTATAACTTCCAAGCAGAAAGTATTCTGGGGTCAAGAAGAAAGTTTGGTTCTGGACTCCTTAGGCTGTCTCTTGTTTGTTTGTTTGTTTGTTTGTTTGTTTGTTTGTTTGTTTGTTTGATTGATTGATTGATTGATTGATTGATTGATTGATTGATCGATCGCACACTTAATTTCCCCACCCTTGTGAATAATTTTCTATTTCTGCAACCTTTGAAGTTCTATCAAGGGAACTGATACTTTTCTGTTTCCCAAACAGGACTACGGCAATTTTTAAATATTAAAACTTAATGGTTACCACCAACGATTCATAGAATAAGAATAGTATAAGAACAGAATACCTGTAAACATTTTTTTTGTCTCTGTCATGGTGGAATTCAGATTATTTGATAGAATGAGTGGGTTTGTGTTTATAAGATGCACTCACTTGAAAGCAACTCACTTGAAAGCAACAGGTATGACTGATAAGTCATAGAAAAAGCTTTTAGGTGCCCTACAGAATTGTGATTTTTTGTTCCTTTGCTCTGCTTTGCTTAGAAGTATCCAGCTATCGCCTGCAGAAACGAGAAGTTCAGGAGGAAGACACGATTAGTCAAATTCAGGAAGCGGCTAAAAAATACTGGGATCAAGTTTCCGGGACAGCCCAGAGCTGGTCTGATGCAGTCAAGTCTATGACCGTTTATGAGAAAGCCCGGTGAGAATTGGACAGGGTACAAACAGACACGAGGGAGATAGAGATGGAGGAAGGGAAGGGGAGAGATTTTCCCAGGATGTAACTAGAGGAGGAGAAAGATATTCCATTTCTGTTACAGTGGTGCCTTGCTAGACAGTTACCCCACATGACAGTTTTTTCGCTAGACATTGACTTTTTGCGATCGCTATAGCGATTCGCAAAACAGTGATTCCTATGGGGGAATTTCGCTGGACAATGTTTGGTCCCTGCTTTGCAAACCGATTTTCGCTAGACAACGATTTTGACAGCTCCCTCTGCGTTCACAAAACAGGTGTTTTCGGGACCTAAGCTTCGCAAGACAGTGATTTAAACAGCTGATCGGCGGTTCACAAAGCGGCTTTCCTATGGCTGATCTTCACTAGACAGCGACGATTCTTCCCCATTGGAAGACATTAAACAGGTTTCAATGCATTCCAATAGGGAAATGCTTTTCGCTAGACAGCTATTTCAGTGGAACCAATTATCGTCTAGCGCGGCACCACTGTACCACCTTCTGCTATGAGCTAGTGCTCAAAGTGGCTCACCATCAACATAAACATAACAAAAGCAGTAAAGCAAAGGCAAACTGCAATTCACAGATCAGTGAAATCATTACTGTATGCTGATATGAGGAACACGGGTTCAGAAAGGACAGCTTTCACATCTAACTCAGTTTTTTTGTGTTTTTGAGAAGGAAAGACAAATGTTTTGATGGTCTTATAAAGGCGTGATCCAGCATGGTTTCTGGATCTCATCATGAACATGTTGCCTATCCAACAGAGATTATTGGATTAATTGGTTAGATGCAATTACACAATGAGAGTTGCATAGGGAAAGTAAATCCGCCTTAATTGGCCACCACAAGGAGAGAGAAGGAAATTGACAGCCTTGTCTGCAGCTTATAAACCGAACTCTCCTGTAGCTCTCTTAGTAAACCTTATTAAGCTTTTAACAAGGGCTGACTGGTAATTTCCTCCTCTCTCTATCTTTCTCTGTCCTTGGTGTCCGGGTGACCTAGCCCTGGCACTAAGCCTGAAAAAAAATGAAAATAAATGGCATTATTTGCAAAGATTCAGCCCTCCTGGGTTTTGACCCGGCCCCACCCCAACCATCATACAAACCACCCACACACTTGTACACACTTGTACACACTTGTACACGCTTGTACACACCTTCATTGGTTCAAGCCATCACAACGCCTGATTCAATGAGAACGGAGGCAAGGTAAAAAAAAAAATATTGAAGCCTCAGTGGCAGAGGGGGGAAAAAAACTATAAATGTGTGCTGCCAGAATCAATGAGAACGGAGGCAATGTAAAAAAAAATTGAAGCCTCAGTGGCAGAGGGGAAAAAATTATAAATGTGTGTGAGGGGGACACATTCAGGCTTATTTGTGTTGGTTTTTATGTCACGTGGTGAACAACAACAACAACAAAATGGAAACCATCCCAATCCTGTAGCATTTCCTGCATCAAGCGTCAATGTAGTTGCAGCCTTAATTAGTGAATTACTGTAACAGCCAATGGCCTCTCCCAATTTGAAGACACCCTTGTCCAGCAGGCCGAGGCAAAGAGGGCAAAATCGGGAAGCCGGACAGGGGACAGATTGTATTTGTCTTCTGTGTGGAAGGGATGGTCACTCGAATTGGCCTCCGCAGCCACACTAAATGTTGTTCCAAGTCCTCTATTCAGAGCATGTTACCATCGTCTCTGAAGCACTGAAGGATGCCTAATCTGATAACAGCCAATATCCTCCAGGCATCCTGTCCAGTAATCACTTCCAGCTCTGTTGTCTAGCTTCAACTCTGCTTACTTTGAGGGTTTCTTCTCTTCTCCTCCCAGTGACGCCTACGAGAAAGCTACCTCAGCCGTGAGCACTTACTTTGGCATCTTCTCGGATCAAGTCATCCACTGGTGGCAAGATGCTGATCATTAAAACAGAGCCGTCATTTCCCTTCGGTGGAGACGGGCTAATGAGTTTCGGCGAGCCAATGACACCACCACCCGGCCCTCTTTTCCCCCCACACATTTTGAGAACAAAGACAATTTGCTGCCGACAAGGAGAATAAAGTTCTTTCCCTTTTTTGCTCTGTTCACGTGAGGTGTGGTCTGTCTGTTAATCCGCTTGATTGCGTGTGTGTTCGTTTTTGAAAGGCAGGACAGCACACACAACCTTGTGAGGAAATGTATTCCGGAGACGTCAGGTTGGCTTGACCGAGATCTTCTCTCCTCAAGAAATCCTTGGAACTGAAAATATAACAACGGTGTCAGTGGCTGGGGGTGAGCCTGTGGGGGGTGGGGTACGGGTTCCCGCCTCCCAAAAAATGTTGGCAGTAGATGCCTACCAGTTCTCCAACCCACTAGCTGCCCTGGGTGTGTGGTTAACAACTTCCATCTGAAAGCTACATGGCAGTTCTCTTGATTTTCTGGAAATTGAAGTCATGGCAACTGGACTTCTTTCTTAATAGGTTGAATTATTTGGCTACTCAGTCTGAAGAAGCTACTTGAATGAGTAAGGTACATTTCGCTACTCAGTCTGAAGAAGCTACTTGGATGAGTAAGGTAAAAGTAAAGGTTCCCCTTGACATTCTTAGTCCAGTTGTGTCTGACTCTAGGGGGTGGTGCTCATTCTGTTTTCAAGCCGTACAGCCACCACAGTTTCCGTGGTCACATGGCCAGTGTGACTAGGGAACGCCGTTTTACCTTCCCACCGAGGTGGTACCTATTTATCTACTTGCATTTTTACATGCTTTCAAACGGCTAGGTTGGTGAGGATCTGGGAGAAAGCGATGGGAGCTCCCTCTGTTGTGTGTATTCGATCTTACGACTGCTGGTCCTCTGACCCTGCAGCACAAAGGCTACTGCGGTTTAGCCCGCAGCGCCACCACGTGGATGAGTAACAAATAAGAAAGAGGTCCGGTTGCTATGACTCTGCTTCCAGATAACCTCACCTGGATGACTGAGAATCTTGACAGATATATTTCCCTTGATTTTCTGTCGCGAAGCCATGACAACAGTCTCATCATCATCATCATCTTAGAATTGCAGTTCCCTTTGATTTTCTGTCGCAAAGCCATGACAACAGTCTCATCACCATCATTTTAGAATTGCAGAGCTGGAAGGGACCCTATGGATCATTCCAATCCAGCCCATGTGAAAAAGGCACCAGGGGGAATCGAACTCCCAACCATAACTAAACCACTGTACTATCCAGCAGTTCATATGTTGGGCATGTGTGTGGGAAGGCAGGTGTCTTCAACAGTAAAAGTTAAGCTTCCTCTGAGCTCTTTGGACATTGTATAGGTGGCTGTCTGCCCTTTGCTTGGCAAATAATCATGTTAACAAATAGCTGGGGGCAGTTATATTGGGAGACTAGAGGTCCCATCATCCTACAGCCATAGTAGTTACATTGTGGGTGTGGTAACCCAATAAAAACCCCATTTCTGCTCTGGCCATTCAAGTTGGAGCGGCATTAAATATTGTCATGGAGGGAAACACTGCATTTTTTATCCAAACATCTTTTTCTACCCTTATCAGACCTTGAAAAGGTTCCCTGTTTCAACTAAAATGCCCAGAATCCCCTGTCCCCAGACAAACAAGAAATGTTTGAAGCTCTGCATTAAATTCCACAATCCTTTGATTTCCAAAGCATCTGAAATTGCTTTGCAAATCAGATAATCGTGGGACCTAATAATACAAAGCTTTAGATTCCACAATCCAGAGTGGATCCAAACAGGATGTTCCTTTTTCTAAACGTCCTCATTTCCTGCCCTTTAGTGCCCCCTGCAGGAGACAGACGGTATGACATGAATGAAACAAAAAGCTGTGACCCAGGAAGCTCAGAATTAGGGCTCCACCTGGCCCAGCTGTGGCTGTTTCTTCAAACTCCTTTTTATTTTTGTGGCAAAAAAGAGGAAAAAACCCTGCACTTCCTGGAAGCTATTCTCCTTTTTTTGAATAGATTACAGATAACTCCTGTACCACTTAACAACCGCAGATACTCCATTTATCTAAATGGGAAACGGACTTTTTGCCACTTCTGCTTTCCGTTTTTTCCATTTTGCATTTATTTATTTAGCCCTTTTTTTTTGGGCCATCTGCCCAGAACTCAGAAATTCCCCCTGGCCAGAAAAATATCCCCTCCAGACATGAAAGCAGAGCCGACTGTAATGTACAAACTCCTCCACTTGATCCTTCGTTCAGCTTTGCTCATTAGGTCAATTAGTAACAAATTCGCTCACTACAATTGGAGCTGCTTAAAAGTACTTTTATTAAGGCGCTTCGTCACGTTGTTTGGCCCCGGATCCAGCCTGGTTGATAGTCTTAAGCCCTTGTCAAGTCGATCCAGCTTGTTTAACTGCACACTTTGGTGTAGACTGTGAGGTAGCTGCTTATGTCACACTTCTAGCCTCGAGAGACCATCCTTCATCGTAAAAAGTTTAAAATTCTGCAAATACAATAAAGTATTTGTGGTCTGAAAAAATGAATGGGAGAACCAAAGAGTCACCTTTCCTATAACATCATTTGCCAAAGAAATGAGGAATACAGGAGGAATAGGTGACGCAAGAAACACCCACACCACCTTGAGATGTTTTTCAAGTCTTACTGAACAGAATTTGGGCTCCTTTCAGAGTTCGTTGGGTCGTTTCCTGTGGAGAAATTCCAAAATGCTGTCATGGTTGACTTTTTCTGCTAATCATCATACACGTACCAGCTGTCTAAAATACAGCCAGAAGCTTTAATCCATTTAAGGGGTACTCTAATTGGCTAAATCTCTCTTTGATTAATTCATAGGAATTATAAGTAAAGGGTGAATTTTCGGTGTTACTGTAATTAGGAGTTAGGAAAAACATACCGTATTTTTCGCACCATAAGATGCACTTTTTTCCCACAAAACAGGGGGGTGGAAAGTCTGTGCGTCTTATGGAGCGAAGAAAACAGATTATATTTTCCTGTTTTCTTCTCCTAAAAAATTGGTGCGTCTTATGGAAAGGTGCATCTTATGGAGTGAAAAATATGGTATTCTGGGAAATTAATCTTACCTTCACAGGCTCTTGGCTCTGCGTCCCTTTTATCCAAGCCTCTTACACAACTCCATTCACTCTTGGGAGAAAACTTACACATGAGGCATACCTCCATACCTGCTCCTCAGGAGAAGGCACAAAAGATTTATTTTCTAGCAAACCAGTAAAGACATCTCAACATTGCCCCTTGCTTCTTTGGCTGGGCTTTTAAATCTTCCTTTTATCAAGACAACATATAGATGATGATAGATCTAACCATAGAGAATGGTATGGTGTGCGTTTTTTAAAATTTCATGGTGAAGAATTGATTTTAAAACAGCTTTTAAGCCATGCATGCTTCTCTATACTTAGGATACCTGGCAAGTGATAACAAATTTCAGCCTTTACTGGTGAAGTCATTTTTGTCTGGGCAGGTGCCCTTGAAAGGTGCTTAACTGGGCGAAACACACGCGGCAGCTGCCAAGATTTGTCCTACTAATCTGTTGACAAATGAATTTGTTCTTTCTTTCTGGTGACACACGTGTTGCTCAAACTTTCCTATCTGGAATGAACAACCCATCAAACGTTATTAATTTAATTGCCATCTGATCTTAACTTGGGCCCTGTTCCTTCCATGACACTGAAATAACAAAAACATCCAGGAGTGTACATGTTAAAAGCCAAACGAGGACATCGGCTCTACTGGGGCAGCGCTACTGGTGCTGCCTGAGGTGAAGGACAAAATGGCGGACTCTTCATTCCGTCTACAGAAGCCGATGGGACTCACAGCTGGATGGTTCTTGAGAATTGGCCATGCGACCCCCCCCCATCCTCTACCACAGAAGGAAACAGCCTGGTTTAGGGAGTGCAGGACAAGTGATGTGGTTGAATAACGACCTTGGAAATGTTGTCTTTCTGGACTACAACTCCCATAATTCTCCATTCTCCACACTGAGCAGGCGGTTGGACTCGGTGGCTTTGTAGGCCCTTCCAACTCCGTTTGTCTATGATAAAATGGGAGGTGTAAATTTTAGAAGGGTTTTTAAAAAATAATTAAAACAGAAGTATAATAATCTCACTCTTGAGGGCCTGCACGCCGGCTGAGACCACTGTCCAGCTCCGATCATGGTGAATAAAGTAACTTCGAGATTCATAATCTTTGTACTTATTGGTCTTCATCTTTAAACCAGATGGTCTGCTTGTCAAACAGAGGACACGTCCAAAACGAGGACTGCCCAGCGGCAACCCTTCAAATAGATATCTAGCCTCTGTAAAAGGGGGCGCCATAGAAAGGATGTGGTGGACCCTGAAGTACATATTTGAATCCCAAAAATGTCCTGGAGAAGAAAACCACTGAGTTTAAGTTGAGTGAATGGAATGGTTCAGGGTTGTCCTCAAGAATGTTTTTGTGTTCCGTAAAAGAAACCAAGCTGGCTGGATAGCTCAACCTCTCCAGAGCCAGAGGTTGGGAGTTCGATCGGAGCAAGAGTTTGGGTGTTCGATTCCCCCACTCTGCCTCTTGAGATAACAGCCAGCCTGGGAGGCCTTGGGCCAGATGCACAGTCCCAGGATGACTCCAGAAGAAGGGAAGGGTCAACCCCTTCTGAGTCTTCTCTACCTAGAAAACCCTGAAAAAAGTCACCATAAATCAGAACTGACTTGAGGGCATACAATTATAATTAAAAGAGACCTCCAGACACACTGTACGGGGTTATTTTTAAACTCTCCACACCTGTCCAAACTCTTTATCTCTTTCCGGGAACGTGGCAGGTGGAGATGACAATTATTTTCCACAAAAATCTAGATAGTGTGGAAATTATTTACAATTTTTGGGCTCCCAGCTGTGGAAGAAAAGGGCGCACTTGGCTATAAATGTCCAGGACGGGCAGTTGCTTAGGCTCTTTGCTTCTCTGACACCATGGCGGTCTTCCTGCTAGCTGTTCTTCTGGGCACCACAGGTAACATCTTCCCTCTTTCCTCTGCTAAAGTCTACATGACTTACTCTATCAACCTCATGCCGAGGTTGTGCTTTCTAGTGGGCAATTAAACAGTTAAAAAAAATAGAAAGTTGATTTTTTTATTGAAAAATGAATAGATTGGATGTTTGTATACCTAATATGAATAGATTAGATGTTTGTATATTCTGTGCTCTCCTATCCTTAAAACCCTTTTCCCATCCCTTCCACTTCTTTTTACCTGTTGTATTCCCCACCCTATTTCCTAGTAGTTTAAAAATAAAATATAAAAACAAAGCAGTAGACATATAAAGCCCCTGTTCAGCTGCCTCACTTGTCAGCTTATGGTGACATAAGGGTTCACCATTTCTATTAAGTTCCAGAGCTCTGCTGTGAAAGAAAGAAAGAAAGAAAGAAAGAAAGAAAGAAAGAAAGAAAGAAAGAAAGAAAGAAAGAAAGAAAGAAAGAAGGAAGGAAGGAAGGAAGGAAGGAAGGAAAGAAAGAAAGAAAGAAAGAAAGAAAGAAAGAAAGAAAGAAAGAAAGAAAGAAAGAAAGAAGGAAGGAAGGAAGGAAGGAAGGAAGGAA